TTGAGGCCAAAATGGAGGGGATATCCCACGCTATCCTAAGAGTCCACGACTACGTCCACGTCAAAAAAAACTCTCCATGCGAAGGTAGGGAGCAGGCCCGGACTTAGGGCGTGTGCACTGTGCAGGGCGTGCGGCGCACACGGGCGCCAGCCTTTGGGGGGCGCCACGAAAGAAGAAGAGAGGGAAAAAAAGGGGGAAAAGGAAAAGGAAAAAAAAGGGTAGAAAGGACAAAGGGAAAAAAGGAAAAAAAAGGGTAGAAAGGACAAAGGGAAAAAAGGAAAAGGAAACAAGGTTGGGCAGTGAAAGCAAGGAAGAAGGGGGGGAAATGGAAGGAAAAAGGAGGCAAGAAAAGTGAAAAGAGAGTCCGCGAGAAAAGGGGGGCATAAAAACCATAGACAAAATATAAAGAGAATTGCCGTCTTAAGGTAAATTTTCAGGACAAAAACTCCACCTGGTCCATAGACGGTCAGGCGCCCCTTGAGCCTAAATTTGCGGCTGTACAGAAATACAAGAGTAGGCATGTAGTAAGGGGGCGCCATAAATCCATCAAACAGGAGCCGACATAGCATTTTAGGCCACGTCCGCCATCTTGGATTTGAGAATTTTCAAAAATCGACTAAAAATTCGAGTTTCCCGTCGAAAAGTACCCCTGATCCCGCGGTTCCCAAAGCTCTAACGAACAGAAACGGAGGCCAGAACCGGGGCGCATTTTAGGCCACATCCAACATTTTGGAGTTGAGAACTTTAAAAAGTAGACTAAAAATTCGAGTTTTCCGTTGAAAAATACCGTGTGATACCGCGTTTCACAAGACTCGAACAAACAGAAACCGAGATAGCATTTTAGCCCACGTCCGCCATCTTGAATTTGAGAATTTTAAAAAATGGACTAAAAATTCGAGTTTCCTGTCGAAAAATACCTCCTGACACCGAATTTCAGAAAAATCCATCGAACAGGGGCCGAGATAGCATTTTAAGCCATTTCGGATTTTCGAATTATGAATAATTTGAATTTTGACAGATTTTGATTTAAAACGCGTGATCCCCAAAATCGAAGCTCAGATTCGGATTCCTCGTAAAAAATCGATGCGATTTCATGTATCATACCCTGACACCGAATTTCAGGAGAATCCATCGAACTGGAGCCGAGATGGCATTTTAAGCCACTTCAGTCATTTCGGATTTTTGAAGTTGAAAAATTTTACTTAAAAAGCGTGATACCCAAAATCGAAGTTCAGATTCGGATTCCTCGTAAAAAATTGATGCGATTTCATATATCATACCCTGACACCGAATTTCAGGAAAATCCATCGAACAGGAGCCGAGATGGCATTTTAAGCCACGTCAGTCATTTCAGATTTTCGAATTTGGAAAATTTGACTTAAAACGCGTGATGCCCAAAATCGAAGTTCAGATTCGGATTCCTCGTAAAAAATTGATACAATTTCATGTATCATACCCGAGCATAGCGTGAAGGAAAGAGACGTAACGTAGACATACTGACTCGCGCATATGAATCCAACGTGGCAACATGGGTAGTGCTCAGTGGGTCAGCGGAGGAGGAAGAATAAGAATTTATCGCGAGGAATTCCTCGGGACGAAACCGAACCACGAACGCTAAGCGCCGGCCGGCGCGGCGGCGTAGTTCAAACGAATGGTACGACAGAATCTATACACGTCGTTAAACCTTTTTCCTTCACGCTATTTTAACATATGATACATGAAATCTCATCAATTTTTCACGAGGAATCCGAATCTGAGCTTAGATTTTCGATATTACGCGTTTTAATCTATTTAAAATCGTAGGAGAAATTACAGAATTGTCCTTGAAAATTGATCACACATTACTGACTTTTTACCCCGTTTTTCTTCTACGTTCACGTAATGAAATTAGATCAACAGTTGACTCATCGACTAGTCTAGCCTAACCCCCCAGAATCGGTCTAAAGGGCGAACGATTTTATCAGATAAGATGTGCGGTCCTAGTTTCCGGGCAATTGCGGTTTGATGGAAGCTGCGATGAGGAGAAACGGAAGATATGCGAAACTCGGGCGGATATTAAGTGAGAAACCAGGTAGGGGAAAGGCTTTCTTCCCGAAAAGTTAGTGCTCGGGCCAACTTACATGGTCACTGGAGCATTGTATAGCAGGTTGTGGGAAACTATTTTTTTGCAGCAACAACCAATTGGATCGCATTTTGCTAAAAGGAACTAAGAGCATTTCAATGTTGCTGGGATTGTGCAACTTAGGTACATTCTTTGCAAAAAGTAAACTTTGCGACGGTAATTTTCGTCTTGAATTCATAGTTTATTGGGAGTAGAGGTGAAACTAGTTTAGATGATCGTTTATGTTTGCAAGGTTAGCGACATTGGAATGCTCTTGTAGGGAGCAAATACATTAGCAGGGTTGCCGTGTTTTCAGTTTGGTTTTGGAGTCCCCAAAAATAAGTTGGCAGCCCTGTCAATGTATTTGTTCCCTATCTTTGCATGGAGAGTTTGTCATGTTGTAGGTGAACTCTCAGGATAGCTTGGGATACCCCCTCCATTTTGGCCTCAACCTGAGAGTTTTTTTTGAGCTTGGAGGTTGATTTCAGAAAAAACCAGTGGCACCATCGTGTTTTTCGCGAACTTTTTCATAAGAATCAATGGTCAAATCGCAAATACCTCACACCTGCAGCATCTCTATTAGTGAGACGAGACACGAATTCTCGAATAGACAGCTGCTACCACGCGGAGGATGCTCATTGGCCTACCTCAGAAATTGAAGGCGAAATGAGAATGCGCGTAACTTATACATATACAGCTTACCTTCGATCTTCAACTTTTGCGACTTTTAGGGGCGGACTAGGACCCAAAAAATAGCCGGGATTACTGGTACATCAGTAGTGCTTGGACGGGTTTTTTTTTTTTTTTTAAGCCGCGTGAAAAACCAGTCTAAACAGAACTGGGTTAAGGGTTACGTGCAGTGGCGTGGCGTGAAGGATCGATTATCGATATTTCTCCATTTGAAGCAGTAGTAAAGAATCGATTATCAAGGTGTTCGTTGCGATCACCTTGATAATCGATCCTTTTCCATAGATTTAAATGGCACATCTATCGATATATCGCAGAGCACGCCATGCCACTGGTTACGCGTAAAGTGCGGCTGCACCATGCGCCATTACAATAGGGCGCCAAAATGAAAGGAAAGAAAAAAAACGAGGGAAAAAAGGAGAGCAAAATTGAAGAGAAAGTTTAATTTCGCTTCAAGTTCGCCGCTAAAGCAACTTGCATAACGTAGAGTTCAATTATTTATCTCTACGAAAACATTTTTCATAATTTATTGCTATGACTTCTACCATGTAAAGTAAGTAGGGAGCATCATGCATTATGCACCTTACGCACTTTTTCGGCATTTTTCACCCCCTCTTCCCATGTGATGGAACCGGAAGCCCCGTTGATAATTACATAACGTTTGACGGCCCTCCCCCCCTCCCAATATACAGACCCTCAAAATTGTGAGAAACTGCGTTGAATATGTGACTGGATAAAATTTGAAGTATTTTTCATTATAGTTTCACAAATGGACGGAGTTGCACAGAAAGAAACCAAGCCACATCGGGATCGAATCGAGAAAAAGAGGTTTGAAGTTTGGCTCCTGCATAAGACTCGATGTAAAAGATAAACTTCAAGTTCAAATTCTGCAAAAGCTCCGACAAAACCTTTCAATTTTTGGCGATAGATTGTAGAGCAGTGGCTGAGTTCAAAACCACTCATAGCTCAAATTTTTCCAAAATGTGGGTTGGTTCCTTTCTGCTGAACTCAGTCCAAATAATGTCGAAGAGATGAGGACGGTACGTTTTTCCTTATTTCGTGCGAGTTTTTAACTTATTAGCAATAAAAATAAGGGTTAAATCAGCGAGACGCAGGCTCATGCCTCCCCCCCCCTATAGCGTTACGTAATTTATGAGCGCTCCCTGCTTCCGAGGAATTGCAAATCGACAGTGAAAAAAAGCAAGGGTTTTCAAGGACTTTTCAAGGTCGTGCGAACCCTAATTTGAGTCCCAAAGAGCACCAGACGAATCGCCATGCGGCGCATGGAGCCCTGCCCTTGGTGGGAGGCACCTGCCCCACTCTGCTGCGGCTACGGAGAGCGTCAAGTTCGAAGTTTGGCAACTCTGGTGGAGGAATAATAAGGGTGTCATTCCATGTTCTTACTAGCCATGTATGTTTGAAAATTCGTACGAGTCAAAATATCGACGTAGTTTTAAGTAATTTCGGCACAAATAAAAAAAAAAATTAAGAAAGGCATATTTATTAAACCGGAATGCTAATTATTCATTAAACGCAGAAAAAAGGTAACTATTGAGGCGCAGAGAGATGCGTTGGCTGCGAGTGAGTTCGCAGAACGGAGGAAAGAGGTGTAGTGAAGCATGGCAAATTTCATTCAACAAAAAAGCTCCCGAGAGCGAAACTGAAGGCTCGGACGAGTAGGTAAGTTTCGGACATTATCGGATTCGGAATAGCGCAGGAATGGCGCTTGCAGCGGAGCGCGACGCCGCGCGTGGTGGGGGGAGGGGCGGGCGACGTAGCCGCCGGTGTGTTACGTGTAGAATTCGGGGGTAAAATCGGATTCATTCACAACGAGCTGCGCCGAGGTCCCCCACCACGGGGCCGTGTACGGCTCCGAGGTCGACCAATCACAGCGCGGCGATCCTTTTACGCTGACTACGGAAGCCGAGTCCAAACTTATGAATGGAGTACAGGGAAGGCCCTATACCAACTTCACATTGAACCAATTCCGATTTTGGGGGTACGTTCGGGGCTCCGCCCGTCCGTGACAAGCGAGTGTGTTTGAAAGTTGGGGTTTGTAGGGTTTTGGGGGGATATTAGGGGGTAGGCGACGGAAATGATGGGGATTTCATTGTGTGGAGTGGCGAGCGTGCGGGAACGGTGCGCCCCTCGGGTCGACGCCGAAATGGACTCGTCGAGACCACTCTACTTCAGCTGACTGGCGTACTCGGCCGTAGTAAAGAGAGTTACGGAGAAACGAGACCCAGGCTGAACAGTCATCGCTCAGCTTCGCTCGCTAGGTGGTTGTGCCGCCTGCCCGGCCCCGCGTGTGACCTAGTGGCTTTGTGTTTAGCTTGAAAATGGCAGGCCTTATCAGTGCTCTCCTACCGCTGTGCCTCCGTTCTGTGCGCTCGCTTTTCGGTGTATCCCCGTGAACTCCCTAACACTTAAACTCGTTTATCTCTACTCTTTACTCTCTCTTTCTCCGAAAATAGTTTATTTATGACGCTCAGTTATCGGCCGTAGGTTCTGGTGTTGAGATAATGCTCAAGTTCTTAACTCATAAACTAAGAACACATTCCCTTAATGAAGAACACCCAAGTGATAAGGTGAGATCCTAGTTTCTGCCAGTTCATCTTGCCCCCAAAATGTGTCTTTCACCTTCGTCCAAGGTCAATCGGGCTTTTTTGAATCCTCCAATTTTAGCGGACCTAAGATGGCTGACTATGAAAGTTGGAAGAAGAAAATTGGAACAAAGGGAGAAAAATGCATAAACCCCGTGTTTTCGGAGGCAGTTTCAGCCTTTCATTGATGCATTGCATATTCTTTAGTACAATTACGTGTTGATTATGAAGTTATCGCTTGCAGTATTGCAATTGTTGCAGGTTTTCGAGATGACCTCACCTTTGGTGCCCATGATATGAAACTGAAATGACCCCCCACATTCACTCAGGCATACAGTGATAATTTTTCCGGTTTCCTCCTATAGTAGTTGTTGTTTTAATTTGTTTTTAGTATCATAACAATAAGTTGGGCGTGAAAGGACGAGTCTGCCATCAACAATCCTCATCATAGACAATGGTTGATTGAGGCAGACTTTTCATATCTAAAAATCCATTTGATCTTCGTAACTTTGAAATGGTTCCAAGGAAAGGGATGAGGCACTATTTTGGTTAAGTTTATCTATTAGCTGTAATTAGGGGAGGGGGGAGGCAATCGTGGCTTTGCCCCTGCGCTGAGGGCTGGGAGGCCCCTACCCCTGTCCCTGTGAACATTCAAAGAAGTCGCAATGTTGTTTATTTATTGCATCCCAGGGGAAACATTGTATTTTGTATTTTGACGCACTTATGCTAACAGGTGTTATGTACAGACATATTAAATCGAAAGGAACTATGATGACTGCAAAGTCTGTGCACACAGTTTCTTTTTGGTAAATTGATTGGTACATCAATTCCTCTTAGCTTAAATATTTTGATTAGTGGTGAATTTCTCCGCAATTTTCCTCCCTGCCAAAATAATTTCCTTCCTTGGTAAATTGATCTGATTTCAGAAGAAGACTGAATATCGGATTATATACTAAGGCACTAATCAAAAATCTGAAGGGATTAGGTGCGTAAATGAGCGAAGCGTGAAGACCCAACAGAATTTTGAGTACATAACCTATTGGTGGTTGATGTTATGGTAGAGCCTCTAAGTGAGGACCTGCCCTCCATGATGCTTGTGCTTCTGGAAAATACAGGCATAATCCCTTAAAATCTCTTAAGCCAATGTTAACAATAGTCTATCCGCTCCAAATGGACTACTGTTCTCCAGCGACAGTCTTCAACTCCTTAGCATGGGCGACACTGCTTC